AATATTAATGAACAAATAAATTCACGCTTTACACCAGCATTTGATTTAAAAATTGGAACACTTGTTTTAATACCTAATTTTAACACTCAAAAAGGAATTTCTAAAAAATTACAACCCCTTCGTAAAGGACCATACCAAATAATTGCCAAACCCACTGACGTAACATATAAAATCACTGACTCAGACCAAAAAGAAATTATATTCTTTCACAGGTTTAAAAGTTATCCAAAATAATCCACATACGGAAAATGAAACAAAAGAACAACATGACATTCACCTCGAAAACCAAAATAAAAAATCAACTACAACGAAAAACAATACAAAAAAGCTAGATCAAAATAAACATCAAAAAGAAAGAAAAAATAGAAAAATGACAGAAAAAATTATACCCCAAGAACAATTAGAGAAATCAGAACCTAGAGAGTCATCACGAGTTAGAAATCAACCACGCAAAAACTACAAAACAATCATTCCACAATCTGAAATATTTAAAAAAGTTGAATTTCAAAAACAACTTTAATTTTACAATCAATAATCTTTGCACCTCTGAAACATTTTAAACTTTCATTTTTCAAAATAACATGCTGACAAACACGCAGCAATTCTAGTTCAAAATTAGCCAATAAGATTCATTCAATCCGCCACCTCCTATAACTCTAACACAAACCAATTAGACGAAAGCTATTAAACTCCAGGCATATCTATAACTATAACTTTACGACCTCCAGGTCAAAAATAAGCAAACCACTCCAACTTGACAACTAAAATAAATATCACCACAATATCATAACCCTCCCTTATCTAATAACCCAAAGATCAACAATATTTCCCCAACTCAGACCTCAAATACCCCCCAAACAAAAATGTTAAATTAGCCTAAAGTAAAAGAACGACCCTATTAAACTAGCCTTAAGTATAAAAATTTCAAAAATACCCCAGATCACTTGACAAATAAAAAATAAAGTAAAAGAAGACCTCCCGAACACCATAAAATTCGCCCCCAACAATTTTTCACAAAACTCAACCCACTTGTCAAAAAACCAATAAATAATTCGACCACACTTGAAAATTGCCCCAAATAACAAAAAATATTCGATCAAGAAGCCATTTTTTCAATGCTCTTCTCTCGATCAGTCAACTTAATACTCAACATTTTCATAAACTTTTTAACAATATTTAAACTTTTATTCATATTTCTTTTTGATACCTTTGAAGCTTTTGTAATAATCTTAATCATTTTTTGCAATATTTTTTAAATTTTCTATTCCATATTTGAACTATACCTCCAACTCTCAAAAGCCATTGACCATATTCACAGGTACGAAACACAAAAATTATCTAAATGATACGAACCATTTTTAGTAGAACAGATATTTTTTTACTATTTGTAATTTTTATAACATTTTTATCATCCCTCATCTTGACAATATGCAAATGTATAAAGAAGGCAGTCATAACATTCGCCTTAGCAACAATCCTTTTAATCCTTTTTCTAGAAGAATACTACAATAAACATAAATTTTTTCACTAAAAGAAATCAATAAAAAACCCTCAAAAATTGCTAACCAACAATCACACAGTCATTCTTCACCGACATCATCCCAAGAAAACCCGACACCACCTACAACTACCCAAAACCCCCAAACATCTACACGAATTTCTTTCCAAGATAACCCATATACCTTTGAAGAACGACACGCTCGCTTATCTGAACCACTAGAACCAGTTCATCAACAAGCACTAATAGAGCTTATCGCACTTTTAAAAGAAAATTCCCAAACCATCCATTCCCAACCAAACCAGGAACAGCCCGTGAATATATTAATCATCCACATCACACTAACACGAAAGATTTTCTAGCAATCACCTTACCTTCATTTCCACAATATACTTTAAACAACCCCAACGACACTAACGACACACGTAGTTTTGTAGATGAACATGTTTTAATGCCTACACTTCATTGGACATCATATTATCAATTTACTAATCCCCATTGCCTACCTTTATCTAATACTCACATCGATATAGAAAGAAATCAAGATATGCTATATCGACTCACCACATCACTCACACATAGACAATTTACTTATATAGGATATAAAAAATCACTAAAAACATTCACTGCACCCCGAGCTAACGAATTTACGCTAGAATATTACGATCATAACATCATACGAACTAACCAAGACCAATTTTTAGATGATGATCGCTTCGCTAACCCACAACTAACAGAAAAATTCTTCATCAAAACACCATATGTATTTACACTCAATATACTTGATCGCAAATTCGACCACATCATTTCTGAAGCACTAACCGACATGCAAGCTTACGAAAGTTTTAAAGAAAAATGTCAATTATTTTCACTAACCTTGCACTTCCTTGCACCACATGAACGCGATTTGCACTGCTCACACGACATTATGTTACGCACTAAACAAACCCACACATATACATATTATCGCTTCATACAAAATCATTTTGACCTACACACTCCATCAAGACAACCACACCACCGTTTTCAGTTTCTTAACTCTAAATACACTTCACCATTTTTTCTTAATTTCACATATTGCATCAAAGATACTAACCTTCACGGCATCCTCCGCAATTATGATCCCATAACCCAAATGTATATATTTTGTCCCATCACGAAGACCTTTAACGCAGAAGAATCCAGACCCTTCCTTATCCCACATGAATTTATCCAACCTATGGAAATCCCAATATTAGAATTCATCCACAATACTAAATACAATCACAAATTATATAACCTCATTCAAAACACACCTTATGAGTTTGCAGTTGGCACTGAAGAACTAAAAACTATTAAAGCACTTCAATTGCTTTGGCCACTGCTTCAGACTAAAAACATCATTCGCATACTAGCAAAATTACTAACAAACTCCGACATAATACACGACATCTTCCCCCACGGTTTTTTCCCCGACGACTAACAGGTAAGTATAATTTATACATATTTTTCACTAATAAATTTGAAATAAATACTAACCATTCTTTATTCATGTCTCATTTAGATTTTTAGTCTTCATCCCACGATCATCTGCAAAAAACAGAAAAGAAAAATAAAGAATAATTAACTTGTTAAAATTCTTCTAAAACTCTATTAATATTTTGCACTAGTTAAATATAATAAAATTCATACCAATGTAGTAAGTTAATTTATAAATTGTTTCCCCAAAAGCAGTAATTTTAATAATGATTAAAATTTGTAACTTAATTTTTCCCCAAAAAACTAGCAAGTAAAATTAAAATTCTATGTAGTAAATTGATAAAACAAAAATGCAGTACTAACCTTTTGATATTTTCATTCATTCGCACAAGAATTCTATCCAAACTCGCACAGCTCGCCCACGAAGAATTGTTTAAATAATGAATTTCAGTTTCAAGCTTTCACACTCAACAACTCTAACACGCGATAACAATTTTCAAAACTTTCCTTTAACCCGGTTGGAAAGGAATTATATGCTAAACAAAACTAACCAACGCAGCTTACTAAACACCACAAATCATAGAATAACAGCATGACTAAGAAAAGAAAACCAACGGTACCCAAACCGGATTAACCCAGTTTAAAAGGACACAACCAACGAAACATAAGAAAAACCACCATAAACCCAACATAAAATGTTACCACATAACAGGACCTCTCACAGAAACCGCACGAAATCATACTCCCACTCCTGGCCTAACCCACCAGAGAGGACGTCCTGAGCATGCTCTATAGCCGACCTAACCCACCGCGCTACATCCACGCTTTGTGACCACACTTCTATTTTTAATAAGAGGTATTCAAGGGTGAGTAACTCTTCAAAATAACCGAACTAAAACAAAATGCTTTTGTGAAAACAACTAACCAAAATCATAATTAAAAACTGAACTAATAAAAATAATTATAAAATGTAAACTATACCTTGCAGTATATAGATCAGCACACAACAACAAAGACGAACATCCAAAGACAAAATGACCCCACTACATTTAAAAAAGAATGGCCAACCACAAACCGATATGCCGTCCACAATCACAAACTCAAAGGATTTAGAGTACGACTTGACTTCGCAGAAAAGGACTTCATTGAACTAGACCAATGACCACTTCGATGTTCAAGTATACGTACAGATCCGAGTTACAAGGCATTCCCTCCACGCACAATCTCCACGCCATTCCCAGACGAGGTCGAACACAAAAGAAGTTCTCTACATAAAAAAGAAAAACCCGTCATAGCAAACCATTCTGAAATCAGATTGATTTCATTGGGAAACACCATCGTTGTCATAAGAAGACCCAACGATTGATGCCCCTCACTCCAGCGTCCTGGAACTTCTCTAACAAGAGAAACCGGACAAGAGTACGATGTTCGCCAAATACCAACGTCCATCATCCATCCTTTGAATTGCAGAAAGATAATGCTAAAAAACTCTGTAAAACCCGGATGGGTGGAACCTGATCTAAACTATATTTTATGATTGGATAAATTAGATAATTTACCACTGTAAAGTATTTAATATTAACCAATCATGATTCATCTAACTAACAACCCACTTATTTGTAAGTGCTGAAATTACTTGTAATTTCAGCACCAGAGAGATTTGAATATAACTTAGAAATTAGTTGCCTCTCCAAGAGAACTTCAGCAGCCGCAATAAACCAGTATACCCTAGATCTATTGAGCCTAGCAGAGACTAGTTAAACAACCTGAGACTAGATAGTATAAGAGTAAGATTAGGATCGGTATTAGACTAAGAAGTTGCACGAATCTATCCGGCCGAAAATAAGATAGCGTGTCGAGCAGACGGTGTACCCTATCCGAAATTACTCTATGAGTTAACCACATCGGTCCTAACTCATGAATGCTGGATAACGCTAAGATGAAGAAAAAATAAAATGTATACCTGAAAAACATTTCAATTTTTTATTAACATTATAGCAAAGTTGCAGCATAAAAGTTCATCATAGTTTTAAAAAAAATCCATTTAGAAACATTTTCTGTGAACAATTTGTGGTCCACACTCGTCGTATTCCTCCTTTGAGACCCACATCTGCTGAAACGAAGACAGAGAAGCCAGAACTGAGCCTCCGATCCAGGCACTGTACTTCCTCTCCTCTGGCGCAATGACCTTCACTCTCGTTCGATCTCCGTTTAACCCCATAAGTTCCTTCTGCATGCGGTTGACGAGACCTGGAAACATCGCAGTGCCACCGGAAAGCACAGTGTTCATGAACAAATCACGTCTAATATCGACGTCGCATTTCTGGATTGCGTTGTAGGTCATGTCGTGAACTCCTCCTCCATGTTCCCTTCCAATCAGCTGTGGTTTAAAAAGTGCTTCTGGACATCGAAACCTCTCGTTGCCGATTCGAATCAAAGAACCATCGGGTAGTTCAAACTCTTTCTCCAGCTTAATATTTGTTTCCGAAAGAGCCACTTCCTGATCAAAGTCGTATGCTGCGTAACACAAGTTTTCCTTGATTTCCCGAACGATTTCTTTTTCTCCACTTGAAACAAAACTGTGGCCTCTCTCGTGTAGAATCTTGACAAGATATTCGGTCAAATCCCGCCCTGCGAGATCCATTCTCCAAATAGCATGAGGTAGCGAGTATCCTTCGTAAATCGGAACCGTATGAGAAACTCCGTCTCCGATGTCCAGAACGCATCCAGTGGTTCTTCCGGAGGCGTACAATGATAGCACCGCTTGGACTCCAACATACATCGCTGGGGCGTTAAACGTCTCGAACATGATCTGAGTCATCTTTTCCCTGTTGGCCTTGGGGTTCAGAGGAGCCTCAGTCAACAGTACCGGGTGTTCCTCAGGGGCCACTCGGAGTTCGTTGTAGAAGGTGTGGTGCCAGATCTTCTCCATGTCGTCCCACTTGGTCACAATTCCATGACTTATGGGATGTCTCAGTGCCAAAATTCCTCGTCGATTTTGTGCTTCATCGCCAACGTATGAATCTTTCGCTACTATACCAGGCATGACAGCGGTGTATTTAGGTATTACAACAATTGAGGGAAAAACTGCTCTGGGAACATCGTCTCCGGCAAATCCGGCTTTCACCATTCCTGATCCATTGTCAATGACCAGCGACTGCACCTCAAGGTCTGTTGAACTCATTTTAGGTATTCAAAGAGAATTTTTCTAAGAGCAAAGAGCAAGATGTTCCAGATATTTTGCTTGACTTTAAATTTTGTATCAAGTGAAAATTTAATTTCTAAGTTTTGTTTGGCAGTATTTATACTCATAGTTTTTGAATAGCTGATTTGCGACATAATTTGGTTTAAAAAAGTGAAATTACCAAACTTGATTTCAATTCGGTGAAAACTTTATGATTGACTAATAAATTTACAGAAAGTGTGATTCGAATGATATTTGCTGTAATAATGATTAAACTTGAGTCCACTGAAATTTCTACTACAAATTAACTATGGAGACAAATAAAAAACACAACTTTGATGGAACATGTTATTCTAACATTGGGTCTACCTGAAAACATTTATCAAATGGTAGTCAAATGTATCTTGACGCAGAACTTGATTTCACATATTTTCGCAATTACTTTGACGAGTGTTTATTTGTTGCCGACCAAGTCGATTTTTTAAACATAGGCAAAGTGTCATTTTAAAGACGTTTTTGACAAACTGAGAATGATCACGTTTCTTTACGCGCAAGGATTACTCAAACTTGGTACTAAATAATGCCAAAATGCGAGGAAAAACTCTGTTTGCTCAACCAATCTTGCTGATCTTGCAATCTTTCAGCTCATTTTGTATATGGACAAAGCTGGTCTTCGCTGTGCTCGAATAATTTTTGGCTAATGAAATATTAACAACCTATAGATTTTAGGCTGATGATATCAATCTTCAAGTGTTAAAAAATGACTCGCGTATGGAAATATTAAGACCAATTAACTTGCCTCAAACAAATTTAGAACGAGTTGTAGTGCGGTATAAATCGCCACGCGTAAATAATGCGCGTTAAATTTTCAGCATCATAGTATAACACGAGCTGTTTAATCATACTGATATCAGGCTAAAATAATGGCATGCGAACTCGGCAGGGCCAACGAAAATCGGGGCAACAAAGCACCAAAAGAACAGTTCTTTTAAAAATTTGGTCTGAATAAAAAAATCCTGAGCATATATATTCCTCATTTTCTTAAAATTTCGGAACAATCAAGCAAGTTTTATTCTTTTTTTTAAATGTTTTTAATCTTTCCTTTTTCAAATTAATTATTACTACAAAAGTTCATGTCTTTTGGTTACTCATAATAAATTATAGATCTTTTCTGTTTTACGAACTGATCTTCTTGTTGCTTTCAAAATTGCATCAAAATTCTCGAAACTAATTGTTTAAAAAAATCCAGTGAATTGAAATCTGGACTTTCAATTAATATACACGCTATTGAGCCGTATAACAGAAAAAACCAAACTGATAATTTGTTTTTGTAAAAACTTTTTGGCATCATTAACGGGTTTTGTGTTTTTCAATTATTAATTTATGCGCAACATATGCTCTTGCAGTTGAACTATTGAGATTATTTTTAACAAACGGAGCCTAATGTGTTAGCGTTAACGAGACCGTTTCAGCATTCAAAACAATTAAATACGGAGTGCTCCAAAGCTTTTTTGGGATCAATTTTGTTTTTGTTACGACTTTCGATACGAAAGTAACGGAATATTTGTGCTCGGGGTGGGTTTTTTTTCTTCAGACAAATTTCGATTTTTTAACTAGCCATTTTTGACGGAGTTTTTTTATATCATTCAAAAGCTATTGTTCTTTTGAGCTTAAATTGAAAAAGATATTTCACCTGTGATCATTTTTCGTTAATTTATGGGGGTTTAAAGGTTGCCATTTCGGCCATTTTGACCAATTTGGGACAATTAACGCGCGATATAATTCGCGCTATTAACGCGTAAGCGGAGATTTAATCCGTCTTAGAAATCGTTCCAAAATGGTTGAACGAAGCTTATTTGCCATAATTGATTTGGTACAAGCAACGAAATCTATCCTTTTCTACTTTATATGGCGTGTGGGGGGATGATTTTTATACAAAATTTCAAATATTAGAACAAAAAGTTCTTTTTATTTTATTTCATTAAATTTTTTTAAATGTTATTACTGCTCCATAAACCTTAAAAGGCAGCCGGAACATTCAGGGCTTCGCCCTGATACGAGCTGTTTTATTTGTTTATATTAGCGACGTTCCTAAAATTGTGAAACTACTGAAATAAAAACATTTGCCGATGAAACGAACATCTATGGAAGTAATATTTTTAGTAAATACTGTTGTGCTTTGGAATAAAGTCTTAATTGAATCACCGAAATTAACAAATTTTAAATGATGATGCAACCACCTGCATACAATTTTCAACCAAAAAATAGAATCGGCGGAAACACTCAAAAAAATAGAAAAAAAGTCAATAATTAAATACTTTTTCCGTCAATAATTTAATCTCGGAATTAATACTTTTTCATTACTTTTTCATTAGATCAATTAGAGTATTTGCTTCGATCAAAAACTAAAAATAGATACAGATGTAGCTGGACTTCAAAAACACTGAAATTAATAACAGTAAACATATATAGGTTCAAATTATTTCTTGAGCCAGGGACTTAGTGAGACTATATAAGATACACATTCAAGCTTGCATCCAATATGGGGTCCTAATATACGGATAAACTGCTACAACTAATTTTAAAGAAACTATACCGGTCACAAAAAATAGTTAGAATTTTTTTTTAAACAAAAAACAAGAGTCTCTTCAGATAAAAAAAATCAAATTCAAATTTTGTTCTGTTAAAAAACTACATCTGCACATATCAACAAAAAAAATTTTCAGGGTCAATTGAATAAATGTAACGGTTACTATATTTTTTGAAATGACCTGAGGGATCTTATAACAGAACCTAAGTCGAAAGTAAACCTTGAAATTGAAAAATCTAAGAACAAATCGATACAAAACTTAGCTACTAGGGTTCGAGTTTTGTTTTTTTTTGCCTGAGGCGCCTTGTGTTTTGAAAAAGATAGGTTTGGACAGCAAAAAGTCAAACTTGTTTCTACTCGAATTCCGAGATTACTATAATCGAGGTAAGGATCAGTTGGTTAAAATTTTCTTGTAAAATTATTTTTTATTCTTTGTACATTTCTCATACTTTTTTCTCACTTCGTATAAAAATTTAATATGAAAAGTATTTCATCTTCAAATAATCTTTCAATTTTACAGTATTTTTTCCAGAAATTAAAACAAATTCTAACTATGAGATAGGACTGCTATGTTGAATAACTACCCGGATGAGACGTCACTCGTCAGATCGAAAGAGCACCTGACAATATAGCTTCACCAATTTATAAATATATCTATTTATGATTGCTATAATTAAAAGCTTTTCAAAATTCATGCTTTTCTATTGAAAACAATAAAATTCCGAGGTGAAAGTTCATCGAAATGAAGAAAGAGAAATTTTTGAGCACAGAGCAATGCTGTTTTTGGTTTGATGAAAGTTTTCATGGATTGAACCAAAGCAGCGGTTGGACTAAATGATTTATTACTCTTTCCGTTTTCAATACGACAGACTTTTCCAGACGCACACTACGAACTGATAATGCTTTTTAAAGTCAAATGAGCCGTTAACACAAAACTGAAGAAAACAGAGTCATTTAGAGCATATAGTTCTCAGGATATCTTAACAAATTTGCCAAAAAAATGATGATTTAAAAAAAAATAAACAACTTTTTTGTTTTTTAAAATGTTTTCTTTTCAGTTTTTTTTTGTTTAAATTTCATCAATTAATTTATCATAAATGACTCCATAGAAATTAAAAATTAAAACGCAGTCGGAATGTTAAAAGTTTTGCCCTGGTACGTGCAGTTTTGTTGTTCCAACTTGCGTAACGAAAGTGACGGAATATTTGTGCTCGGCAAGTTTCGACTTTTTAACGAGCCATTTTTGACATAATTTTTAAAATATCACTCAAGCCAGTATGGTCGTCTTGAGCTTAAATCTGAAAAGATATTTCGCCTGTGATAATTTTGCTTAAGTTATGGGGGTTTAAAGATTGCCATTTTGGCCAATTTGGGACTATTAACGGGCGATATATTTCGCGCAATTAACGCGTAAGCGGAGTTTTAATCCGTCTTAGAAATTGTTCCAAATTGGTTAAAGGAAACTTAATTGCCAGAATTGATTTTTTAAGAGGAGCAAAATCTATCGCTTTGTACTTAAATTTATAAGGCGTGTGAGGGGATTGTTTTCACAAAAAATCTCAAAGTAAGAGATTTTTTTTCATTTTATTTTATTACGTGAAATTTTTTTCCATTTTGTTACTACTCCATAGACCTTAAAAAAAGTCAAAACACTCAGGGCTTCGCTGATACGAGCAATTTTGTTGTTCCGACTTTCGTAACGAAAGTAATGGAAAATTTGTGCTCGGGGTGAGTTTTTTTCTTCAGACAAATTTTGACTTTTATCTAGCCATTTTTGACGGAATTGTTTTTAGATCATTCGGAAACTATTGTTGTCTTGAGCGTAAATTTGAAAAGATATTTCACCTGTGATTATTTTTCGTAAAGTTATGGGTGTGTAAAAAATGCAATTTTGGCCAATTTGGGACAATTAACGCGCGATACATTTCGCGCGATTAACGCGTAAGCTGAGATTTAATCCATCTTAGAAATCGTTCCAAGTTGGTTGAAACAAGCTTATTTGCCATAATTGATTTGTTGATTGGAGCAAAATTTTTCACTTTTTACTTAATATGACTCGTGGGGGGTTGTTTTTACAAAAAATCTGATTTTTTTTATTTTCAATTTTATTACATTCAAATTTTTTTGTTATTATTACTCCATAGACCTTAAAAAGCAGTCGGAACATTCATGTCTTTGCCCTGATACGAGTAATTTTGTTTCAATTGTGTACTAATTTGAAAGAAGTCAGCAACCCCTTGTCTCGTACAAAACGCAGCCTTTTCATGCCAAAACTGTGGAATCAGCTCAAGTATAGCAAAACAATCGAAAAAAAAATTAAACCTTTTCTGCAGCTCTTTGAGAACATTTGAACAGACTGGTAACAAAAAAAACTGAATTAAAATTTTGTTTTTGAAAAAATGTTTTCCATACAGTTTCCATATATGGAAATTGTATGACTGGCATTTTTTGATGGCGACACAAAAATTTTGAAAATTTGCCCCAAAAATTTCTTGTTTTCTTTTCAACCACAAATTGAATTTTGTACGCAAATTGAATTTTGTACGCAAACAAACATTTTTCGAGAAAAATTTTTTTGCATGCAAATTAATTTTTTGTGTGCATAACGTAGTCCTGGATACAATAATATTGGCAGTTTTTTCTTTACACCTAAATTTTTTTTCAAAAACGCTGAAAAATCCTATTTCTTTTATATGGCATGTTTATGTATGCCTTGATCAATGTCTGATAATTTGTAAATTCAAAAATTTAAAATAATCATCACTGAAAAATGTTGCCAAAAATTAAAAGTTTGTTACTTTTGTTATATGATTTGTGAAAGACATTTGGAAGACATTTCAGGTCGTTTTTTATGCATTGTAAATGCAAGACCGTCCAACTTTTGGTGCTTTCAGTAACCATGGTCTTTGACACTTGTGTTCGGCTGCAAACCCAACCCAAAAATTTGCAGAAAATAAGTTTGGAAACAAAAAACAACTTTTTGGTTTATGGAGAGAACACCTATTATACAATTTCCATTTATGGGAGAATGTTTATTATAGAGTTTTCATACAGTTTTTTGTATGTATGGAATTGTATGAAATTGTTTGAAAAAAAATTTCCTATTTATGAGAATTGTATGATAAGTATTTTTGGTCAACCCGGGTGCTCAAAATGAAAGTCAATCAAAAATGCTCAAATCACGGCAAAGCTGGCTCAGTTTCGCAATTAGATGGAATCACAACCTCGTTTCAGGGTTTGACTGACAATCTGCATTAGTCTTTAATTAATAGTTTTTAATAAGTCGTTTCCAGGCATAATTTTACTCAGCACTACCCAAATACAGAAAACCACATAAGTATAAAATTGCCATACGTCACTTAGTTTTACGGCTTTAAAAACATGGGGATGTGAATTTTTTTTGTATTTCAAAATTGTATTTCATAACAACAATCCATTAAGCAGGATTTTATAAAATAAATATGGCAGCAGGCGTATCTCGAATCCTGTAAGCACAACATGATCTATTGAAAAACAATTATCAGGCAAATGGGGTTCTGAGATGTCGGGTTCTTCTCTCGTCTTTAATCCTCGGTGGCTCCCGAATCACTGATAACCATAACCAGAGTTGTTGATCACTCGGCTATTCGGTTGCACAACGTGTGTAGCTCCCACATCGTCTAAAGTGGGTACGAAATCGATTCTAACAATGCATTAAAGCAGATTTGAACAAACTGTTCTGTTCATTTTATCCCATTCCTTTACCCCGTGATAGCATTGGTTTTGAAGCTTACTGATGATGGTAAAGTTTTAAGATCTTCTCTATCAATTGTTTTTTTTATAAAGATGTTTTCTTGCACCTATGCAGGACTTGTAGTAACCATCAGGTCTAAGGACAATTCTTCAACCAATCCTACCTGAGAATTGTGAGTAGCCAAATTGTCCTCGTTGCTTGTTGAACATTCCATTGCCTATTACTGTGACTCCATTGTTGTTCTGACTCTTATTGTTATTTACACCTGTCCGAGTGTTATCATATAGTTGCCCCTCTTCGCCCCCTTGGGAGGGGGGAGGGGGTTGTTGGGACTCTGAGTGGGAGTGTCTGTCCCACATGACTATGCCAGCGTAGCCCACACCCAAACCACACACACTTTGCACCACAGCTGAAACAGACGAGCTAATTAAGATCACGTGCGCAAGTATCTCGATGAGAACTGAGGAGGTAGAGGTGGGGGGGGGGGTTAGGAGCAGTCGGGTGTAGATAGTGACGTTCTTTTTAAGGCGAGCTTTTTTAAATTTTCGACCACTGCTGAAACCCAAGGAAAACTGCAGGATTTAGTTGTCTTTCAGAGTTAGTTTATAATAGCACTCGCGGACTAAATCCCTCAGGATAAAATCCCAGGTATAATAGCACCCATGAGGCTTACGTAATTAAAAAAAAAAATGGAACCAATTTTGATAAAAATTTGAGCCCAGAATTCAGGAACGGAATAATTTTATGCGAAGACCTAATTATTTTGGCCGGGATTTTTTAAATTGTCAACCTGCGATGACGAATGGCAACCAGTAGTGTATGTTATAGAGCAGTCCAGAGTAGCTGGCACTGAGTGCGTAGAAGAGAGTGTAGACGAGGTGTTGTGCCCCCACTAGTCTGGTGACGGAGTGCACGTGGGAGTCCTTCTGGTGGGGGAAGACACTCTTCAGAAGAGGAACTCGCACACTTTCCAACACAGCTGCACAGACGCCATAAAGACACAGGTCGCCACTGCACTGCAACCAAAAATATAGATGAATTAATAACAGTAAAGACATTTCAGGTATGATCTGGCAACTCTGGATTTCTAAAGGTTTTGCAATACATAGACGTCACCAAATCTCGAACAAAATTCCAGGTGTTCAAGTTTTAAGAGAACTGCTGATAGTTTCGGAATAATTTTGGAATAAGTTTCAACGGATATAAAAGTGATTGAACTTTCGTTGAGCTAAAAATCCTTTAGGATACTAATCCATATCTGCTGTAACTGGTCAGTTTGCCTTCATAAAGTCCAGCAAAAAAAAATTATGGAGGTGTCCAGGGGCGGATTTAGGGGGGGGGGCAACTTCCTGCCGATGCAAAGTGTCCCCATTTGTACTATTTTGAGATATCCATTTTTGGTGACTGACCAACAAAAAAATTTTCTAAAGGCGCCTTTGGCGCCAATATATACCAACTTTGAAATGTCTTTTCTGTTATTAAACCAACTTTTGGCGCGGGGGAAAGCGCGCCAAAAAAATACGATTTTTTGGTCAAAATTTTCCAAAAAGTGCTTAAAAACGCCTTTTTTGGCAAACTTCAAAGTTTTGCTGCAGCGCAGAAAATAAGACCAAAACAGAGACCTTTTAGTGCTTTGGGAGAGCTCGAAAAATCAATTTGGTCGACCTAACAAAAAGGTGGACAAAATTTCCAAAAACTTTTGAAAATCCCCACCCCCCATCGAGAAAATCCTAGATCCGCCCCTGGAGTTAAAAAAGTCATTGAGTCAACGTTGGATCGGTTTTTATAGGAAGACCAAAATGAACTAACCATTAGTAACTGTGGACAGAAGGGGAAGATAAGTAGAGACAGGCAGAGAAAGAGATTGGCGGCCAGCAGTTGATGTCTGTGAGAGAGTGTGAGGGAGATGAGGGGGAAGAGTAGGGCGGAGAGGACTAGAGGGAGGAAGTAGTGGGTGCTGACTGAGGAGTGGGAGAGGGAGAAGTGTCTCTGCAGGAAAAGGGGGCCCATCGACACCATCAGGGATCTGGCACTGCCCCTCGCACTCACAGAGATCAGACACACCCACACGAACAGGGGCAACGACTGAGCCTGAAAAACAAAATAGATGTTAGCAATGTCAGCTCCAGCAAGTAAAGTAACACTGGACAAAGAAGGTTGCATCTTTCTTTTTTCAACGAACCAAATGAACGAATATTTTCTCCATAAAATTTCGCTTTCTCAGCAAATTGAAAACACCGGCTATAAATTATGACACATGGTTAATAAAACTATTTAAAACAATCTGGCCGGATAAAAACTTTGAAAATATTAATCATAATAACAAGTTGTTTGCAATATAGATTCATTCACAGTAAATTTTATTACATTGCAACCAAATGAAATCTCATCACGAAAACGCCGTGAAAAAGTGCAGCTCGATTTCAGGCGCCTCAAACAAATACTGTTTTGGAGAATTTTTGGGCCAGTCAATCATAACTCGAAGAGAATAAGGAATTGGAATTCATTAACTCAAGGTTTTTTTTTGGAAAGCTAATGAGCTTGACTTTTTCTTAAAACTTATCATAAACAAAAGATAAAATGGTAGATGCACGATGTCTAAAACCGGCTGTTTTATATCACAACTAAAATACCTGAATATGCTGACTGCATTTAAACTTCTACGGAGTAGTTTGAATTAAGACAATTGATGAAAATTTTCAAAAAAAAATCAAAAAACGCTTTGAGTTTTTTAAATGAAAATCATCCCCCACCCGCTATAGATAGTACAAAGAGATACATTTTGCATATAACAACAAAATAGATAAAACAAGAGCATGTCTCAATCGAGCTTGGATCAAATATCCACTTACGCATTGATAGCTTGAAATACATCAAGCGTTAATTGTCCCAATAGGCCAAATTTGTAATCTTCAAATCCCCATATTTTTACAAAAAAATATTACGTGTTGGAATGTATAATTTTTGAACAGTGAGCTCAAGATAACAATACCTTCCGATTGATATTGTAAAAAGTTTGTCAAAAACGGCTAGTTGAAAAGTCGAAATTTGTCTGGAGAAAAAAACCACCCCGAGCGCAAATATTCCGTCATTTTCTTCGGAAACAGTCGGAACAACAAGTCAACGAAAAAGCTGTCTCTGGCGCGGCTAGGCCAGTCCATGCATAACGACGTATACTTGTGCATGCCACATGTGGCAAAAACTGTTATGTTGCATGACACCTTGAAATGCATCTAGTTTGCTTGTTTGTTTGTCTGTTTTTTTTTTATTTCGGGCTTATCGTTCCGATTTTATTGTTCCGTTTGGGTTAATTGCTCCAATTGCTAAGCTTGGAGATGTTTTTTTTCTGTAGCTTTTGACTTTTTAACTAAGCGTTTTAGACGGATATTTTTATACCATTTAACAGATATTGTTGTCCGGTAAATTATATCACCTGAGATTATTTTTCATAGAGTTATAGAGGTTTGAAAATAGCTAAAATGACCAATTTGTGATAATTAACGCGCAATAAATTGCGTTCTCATAACATTTTTCATGTTCTTTTTACCCTCTTCTTAAACAGAATTTTTTAATTGTCCTTAAAAAGCAGTCAGGACATTCAAGGTTTTGCCTTGATATACAAGCAGTCGAGTTTGCTCACAATTTTTTATCTATTGCTTTTTAGCTTAGTTAAAAGAAAACTTAATTTGGTTCTCAAAGAAGATTCTTAAATTCAAATTTTACAACCTAATGAAGTATCACTGAATTTTTCAGAAAAGCCTGCAAAAGTTTTTTTTTGTTCCGTCATAAAGTGAAAGGATGGAATCAGGCTTAAGGTTGTTTTTTCCTGCCTATTTTGACTAGCTTAAAGAAAACTTGTGAGAGCAAGTGGGGTATGATAATGAAGCTGTATTAGTCGTGAGTTGGATTCCAAAAAAAAATCGTTCAATGTCGATTCGTTTTTTTCTTCTGTTTTTCACGCTATATGACACGAACTTGTCAATAGACAAGCGGTGAGAGACTGAACAATTTAATTCTACTCAATTGAATTCTACTAAAATATTAACGTCAACTTAAATAATATTGCCACACATGCATGCATTTTTTGTGTCCTTTCTACAAAAATTATCAGTAATTTCAGACAAACTGAAATTTAAAAAAATGTTATGATTTGTGGTTTTTAGTTGTTTTATATGTTCAAGATTTTAAGTTTTTTTAAAATCAGTGCGGTCGGAATATTCGGTGTTACTTTCACAGACACCGACAATCCTTTGAATCACAGGTTTGTTTTGAATAGTTTCCTAAAGCAATTTTCGACACTATATCTAAAGTATATCTGAGACAACAACAAAGAAAAGGGATATAGTTGCCACGATCATCCATCAAAAGATCCGCCAAATGATCGGCTAAAAAGGTTGCAAGATCCTCAACTGGTGCGCTCGTGCACGCTTCAGGTACTATTGTCAACGCAATTCGCTGTACAATAACAATACTCAATTAAATAATCAGAGCGCTATTTTTTCTCGTCTAATTTGATTTGATGACAATTTAACGAAACGCTGAAAAATCAATGAGCTTCTAAAGCAAGGAGGAGTATGTAATACTATCCAACAGTATTATAGAAAAGTGCTCCCACCACAATAGCCTCAATGGGGTTCCTTGCGTAAGTTGGATTTTTTGCACTTCTCACCTGTTGTTTTGCATCTAAGGCACTCTGCACGATGGGAGTCTGTTCCCCGTTGCCCCCTCCTCCCCCTTTGTTCAACTCCACCTGGGGATACGAATCACTCCTGCTCATCGGAGGGTACAGGCGGTCCAGAAGGATCTAATTCAATCCAGTAAAACCAACTCAAGGAAAGAGAATGAGGTGTCCAAAATACTACTTTCGCAACGAGTTAACCGATCGTCAAAAACATCCATCTACAATTTAGCAAATTTCAAACTAGAATATAACTGAAAATTTGAAAATTGCTGTATGTGAATCTAAACTAGACCACTATCTTCTCTTTTTTTTTACTTTAAGGTAACAATTGCTCACCTTACTTCCCACATTTAGCAGGAAAGCTACCATCGTGCCTAGTGACAGCCACGCCCACCTAGTGTCGGATCCCGGATCCAGTGGTTCTCTAGAGTCCCCTCCCCCTTCTTCATCGTTTGGGGTTTGGGGGCTTGTTTGTGTGCCCCACCCGTAAAGTGGTACTAAGGTGCACAAGGAAGTGCCAAAGGAGAGGAATTTTCCCACGCTGAAATAAATTTTAAGTTTATTATTTTTATCAAATTTAAATGAATTTAAAACAGCATCCCAATTTTGTACAGAAAGGCCTAGTATACGGTCAGAACCTAAGTCTAGTCAGATTAACCCAAACTTTAGGAAATTTTTCAGCAGTATTATAAAAAGCCTAAAGCCCGAGCTTAGCATGAGTTTGCAATTTAGTGACGACATACCTAAATGCGATGCTGTTGAGTTTGGTCTCTTGTCTATGTTCGACATTGGCCATCGCATTCACTAGTTGGGGGTTCGATCCCACCCCGATCAAAAACAGACTAACAAACACCAGCACCGTCTAAACATCAGAAACAGAAAAAAAACTATTAGCATCAAAAACTATCTCAGATAATTGTACAAATCGAAACAAATATTGATAATTGGGATCTGTCATTGAAAAAAGGAGAAAGTCCGATCGATACAACTTGTATTTGAACTGAAAGTTTTATGAATTTTGAGATGCTACAGAAATTTCAATTTGATATCTTCGATGTTTTTTGTGGGAAATAATATTTGGCAGCTTCTTCCGAGCAGCCCTGGCCTCTGTTTACGCAGTTTCGGTGTATCTTATTTCTGAGCATTTACTTCTCGAAAAATGACTGCAAACTTTTTTCTTTTTTGACTGCTTCTACTGTTTTGACTGCTTCAATCGGCTCAAAATCGTTGCAAGACTTTTTCTGTTTTAGTTTTTCTATTTCGGTTTTTCTATTTTTTTTTAATATTGACGTTTGAGGACAATTTTCAATAAACATCTACACCTGTGATGTGGAATTGGGATCTGTGAAGGCGACAGCCGAGCCCACAGTTGACCCCAGCAGACCGAGAGCACACTGGAGGTAGTATTGTGAGTGTAGCATGGAGGGGAAGAGGATGAGACCACTGGCACCCACCACTCTGCCCACGTCAGCCAGAGCCACCGCCCACCCCACCAGTACTGGACTCTGGACAGGTGAAAGGGTTTATATCAAGTTCTTTAAATAGTTCAGATCGGATTTCAAAGAACCCTTACGTTGGTGAAAAACAAGATTGTATGATATAGTCAACTTTTTTTTAACCAAGGTAAGGGAAGGGACAAGGGACCCTTAATAAAAGAATTTGTGTTCTAACATGGCCAGCCTATCTTATTTTTTTTTCTAGGGTAGATATAAAATTATAACTCTTAAAACAATTGTTGGAGCTCAATCCAGAAAAAACTGAAAGTTTCTATTTTGCATTTAAGGTTTTCGGGACGCTTTTTCTGTATTCCGTTTTTAAAACAACTTCCTTCATCTTTTGTCTCAGAAAACTCTTGCTATGTTATCACCATCGTTAAAAGTCATATACTAACAAGATTTGAAAATAGCTGTTACATGATCTTGTTGACAGACCAAAAATGTTTATTTCCAGTTTTCCTATCACTGATTTCAAAAACACCATAGGAAGAACCTAACAAAAAATAATAAAATAAAATACAACCCGGGTCAAGCGGAACATTTTTCACCACCAACAACTCCTTTGAGGCCCAACACGAACCCCCTTTGCTCATTCAAATGGAGGATGAGGGTTTATTGTTACTGAAAAAAAGGCAGAAAAAAACAGAAGGAAGAGGTTGTTTTACAAATTCTACTCTCTGAAAAATCCCGGAGGACTGGTGTCACTTTAAACAGAGTCCGACCACTGTTAAAACAACCCGAGGGTCTCGAGGTGCAATCACTCAAGTGCATCAAACGTCAACCTCATACGTCCCCCCTCTCTACCCAAAAGAACCCCGCTAAGTCTCATCTCTTGTTCTGTTAAGTGGCCATATGGACACACATTGCTATACCCTGGAGAGCTATATTTTCATTTTTATTCCCACGTGAACAAAAACCGCCTCGCTTTTTGTTCATCAGCGCATGGTGTGATCAAATGAATGCTTGATTGCACAGGTAAAAAAGCAAACAGTGGTAAGACGTGAAAAGGGATCAGGATGATTGAATGAACAAATGAAATAAATGAAAACACTCAATTAAATCAACAACACTAATCTTAGTTCACAATTTTACTTCAAGCTTTTTTCTCCATTCTATCTCAAA